GAACCAGCACCCCCAGAACCGAAACCCCCAGAGCCAGCACCCTCAGCGTCACCACCCCAACAGCACCAGGGCCCCCGAAGTCAACAGGCGAAGATGTCAGAGGCGGAAAACCCGGAGGTGTCTCCAATCGTGGCGAGGGCGAGAGGTCGGTGTGTCGGCAGCAGCAGGGTAGGTAAGCGGCAACGAAAGACGACCTAGGGTGGCAGGAGGTGGGGGAGAGTAGCGCCAAACCACATCGGTATAGAAAGCATGGGCCGACGACACCTGGCGAAAGTTGGCTTTCTGGTCGAGAGAGAGGTGAGCGCGGGCTGCAAGTTTGGCAGCGGCGTCGCGCGCCATCCATCGCTTGTAGGCAACGTGAGCTACGCAGTGCTGCGTCCACACCTCCTCCCCAGCGTCAATAGCAGGCTCAGCAGGAGCCTCGGGGACCGAAAGGGACCCCGACGTGTGCTCGAACAGGGAGGCGTTGTCCTGAGTGGCACTTTGAAGGTACTGATGCATACCCTCTAGCCAGGACTCAAAATGTATCGGGTGGCCCTCGGCATCAAATGTGAGCATAGTGGGAGTCGCCATAGCAGCAGTAAAGGCAGCAGTAGCAGTCGCAAGGGCAGTAGCAGCCGCGCGTGCAGGACAACATCGGAGCAGGGCAGGGCAGCCGCGCGTGCAGGGCATGTTAAGAATGCTAGGCAGAAACGAGAAACAGCAAAGAGAAGTTTTCACTAGCAGGCAGTTGAGTACATATAGCAAACCCTAATTTGGGCTGTACTCGCTATAGAGTACCCCACTGCAGGCTAGACAAACATCACATTCTGACACATCCCCATAGTCAAAGTGGGGTATAATCAGCACAGCAAGCAGGCAGAGCAGTAGGTTCACAAATACAAGCAAAGCTAGAGGCTATCACAGAGGGCAAGTGAGGAGGAGGAGAAACTGCGGGGGCGAGAAGATGGGAGGCGACGGCTGAAGCTGCAGACACACGGGCAACAGGAGTGCGCAGCACTGTCGCTACCAGGCTAAACCCGGACTACACGGCGACAGGCGCAGCTGGCTCGCTGTGCTCCCAGGAGTGCTCACACTGTGGCTACCGGGCGCAGAGCCCCGGACTACTCAGGCCACAGGGGGTCGTGGCTCTCTGGACTACCAGGAGTGCTCACACTGTGGCTACCAGGCGCAGAGCCCCGGACTACTCAGGCCACAGGGGGTCGTGGCTCTCTGGACTTCAGGCGCTGCGGACGACAAGACGACTGCCTCCACTCAACTTCCTCCAGCTGTCCCACACCCCTTTCACACACTCCCTGTTGAACCTCTAGCACCGCTCACACGCCACCCCCCTCGTACCACTCCGACGGCTCCAACACATCCACCCCCCTCAGCGGCAGCTGCAGCAGTGGGAGACAGAGGAGGAGGAGGAGCAGGGGACGGCTCACACACCCGGCACCCCCATACTCTCCACCCCCAAACCCTAACACAGGAGCGCGGGCAGCAGCGGGGGTGGGGCGCGGTCAGAAGCTCGGGGGACGGCGTGCGGCACTGGGGCAGATTGTACGAGCCGCGCACGGGCGTGGCGTAGGCCGGACGAACCGTGCGTGGGCTGCCCGGGCCGCGCGCGGGCCTGGCGCAGCCCGTACGGGCCGCGCGCGGGCCTGGCGCAGGCCGTACGGGCCGCGCGCGGGCCTGGCGCAGCCCGTACGGGCCGCGCGCGGGCCTGGCGCAGCCCGTACGGGCCGCGCGCGGGCCTGGCGCAGGTCGTACGGGCCGCGCGCGGCCCGCGCGGGGCCCAGGGGCGCTTCGACGGGCGACGGGGGGCGCTTCGACGGTCGACGGGGGGCGACGCGCGGGTCGACGGGGGTAGAAAACCGCCGCGCGCCTCGGGACGCACAGCGGGCAGAAAACCGCCGCGCGATTCGTGCGCGCAGCGAGCAGAAAACCGCCATGCGCCCCGAGCGCGTGGCGGGAAGAAAAAACGTCGCGCGCCACGGGGCGCGCGACAGACAGGACAGCAGCGGAAGCTAACGGTGGGCCCTCTGGCCAGGAGCGTAACCGCTCTAATAGCATGTTAAGAATGCTAGGCAGAAACGAGAAACAGCAAAGAGGAGTTTCCACTAGCAGGCAGTTGAGTACATATAGCAAACCCTAATTTGGGCTGTACTCGCTATAGAGTACCCCACTGAAGGATAGACAAACATCACATTCTGACAGGGCAACACCGCGGAGCAAGGCACGGGGCAGGGCTCACGCGTGCGGGCAGGGCAGAGCAGCCGCGGGTGCAGGGCAACAACGCTGAGCAGGGCAGGGCAGCCGCGCGTGCAGGGCAACAGCGCGGAGCAAGGCAGCCGCACGGGGCAGGGCTCACGCGTGCGGGCAGGGCAGGGCAGCTGCGCGTGCAGGGCAACAGCGGGGAGCAGGGCAGGGCAGCCGCGCGTGCAGGGCAACAGCGGGGAGCAGGGCAGCCGCACAGGGCAGGGCTACGGCGCGCGGTGCGCTGTGGCGGTTGGTGGGGTGTGCGCTAGCAGTTTGTGTGGTATTGCTGATGGGGCACTAGCTGCTGGCGCACTTTGGTTGGTTGGCACCCACAGCTGGTTGGCGCGCTGGCGGGTGCGCGCTGTTGGTTGGCGCTGGCTGGCGTGCGTGCTTCGCTAGCAAGGCGTGAGCTGGTGGTGTCACGTGGTGCTGGCGCATCTGGTGCGTGCTAAACTGGCGGTGCGTGTTTCACCGGCGGCGTGCGCGCTGTTCACAATGGCTGGCTGCTAGTAGTTGGATGGCTGGCTGGTTGATGGTCGAGCTAGGAGACAAGTAGCGGGCGGTCTAGGAACTAACATTCGTTAAGTACCATATGTCGAATCGAAACAAAACAGCAGTGATTGTCAAAACTAAGATAACATTCCTGCGAAGATTTTAGGCGCTCTGCGAAGTACCGTAGCAGTCGGTCCCACCGCACCATATTTTATCCACCAAGAATAAACCGCATTTACGAGCGTTGCACCAAAACAGAATACAGGGTCTCGTGCAATACAGATTTGAAGAGTTCATGATCCAGCTTGGTTATCATGGTTTCATGCCAGGGTGGGAGTCCATGTACAGGAACTCATCTTCAGACGATACAAATGGGACAAAACGTGCAGTCAAGAATCACAAGCTACCTTTTCAGTATGGGAATGAAAGCCAATGGGCGTCCGTCAGGGCTGTTAATGCCTCTCCAGCACGCAAGAGCGACTTTCGCGATTCAGGTTTGTACCGTATTAGAAATCAGTCATTCTTTAGCAGCTTCCTTCGGGGCTTCTGCCTCAGCTGGTTTTTCGCCATTCTCGGCCTCCGCCTTAGCCTCTTCCTTGGTCTCCACAGGCTTCAACAAACCCCACTCAAAACCGAAAGGGTCGATAAACTTGCCATAACGACGACCCCAGTCCTGGTCAGATACCTCCAGACTGGCCTTGGCTCCCTTGGCAATAGCTTTGGCAAAAACCGGATCTGGATCACTGCACTCGACTTGAATGGTAAACGTGGTTCCCTTCAATGCCGACGGAGGCCTCTTGCCACCCCTGCACCAGAAGAATAACATCGATCAGAAATTTACGAAGAGCATGCCAGCCACGGAATATTTCAGCTTGCTTGCAATCAATTCTCGTATAACACAGCGAAACGCATTATTAAGGATACAAATTTCATTCACACCTAGAGGAGGGAAAGTCAATTGGGTGACAACATTACTTAGCTCACAATATTACTGCACGAACACTTACTCAATGGTAGCCCCGTGACCAGTGTCATCTGCAAGCTTGATCTCCACATCTCCGAGCTTCAGATGAGCGTGATCAATCAGAGGCTCATCCTGACCAGCCTTTCTCTTGCCATAAATCTTCGCAACCTCCTCAAAGCCGAAGACGTCCTTATACCACGCAACGGCTTCGCCAGCTCTCGGAGGCTCAATGGAAAGAATAGGGTGGAGAGACTTGAAGGTCACAGCTTTCACTGGCGTTTCGCCGTCAACGACTTCACCAGCCATGGTTGTGTAAGATGACCAGACAGCGGAAATATCACTGTCACAAGATGTGAAGTTGGCAAAAATGTCAGCGATGTCCAGTTTGAATTGAGCAAGATGTAGTTCTTCGAGAAGGCAGGGCGGGTGGGGGGTGGTGAGCAACCAAGGGCTCACACGTCACCCCACTAACATCCGTGATTCAAGGGCAGAAATGAACACGTAGACTGCCAGCCCACCTCGGGTCCACTTCAAAATTCCTTCAAAGGTGGGTGCAGGTGCAGGTGGGAATATCTTTCGCGAAATGCTTACACAGTTCCGCGTCAGCTCTTGCTTTCGTGTCACGCGGGAGATCCCAGGGTAGAGTAACCAGCGTTGTTTCATATACGGCGTATTCGTATTTTTATGAAATGGCATGAACTGGTTTAGTTTTGAAGTTTACCGTAGCAAAAGTTTTGAGTGCAGAAGTTGGTATAAACGGTTCAGAATTCTGCCGTATATGGAGATGGTACAACATGCGTTCAAATTTGAGAAATACACTTTTACTGCAAGAAAAATAATTGGTACATCCAAAAATTTGGGGGGTGACTGAGTGCATGAGCTTTGTATGTGTAACAACATGTGTTGAACACTACATATGTAGGATAAATTTGATTAATAATTTCCGTTAAGGCAAACTACGGAACCCCCGACGTTTTGAATTGAACTCATACTGCAAGAAAAGTAAGAGATGTAAATAAAAGAATGAGCTGTTTAGTCTGCACACAACTAAAGCAGACCGACCATAACGCATTGAGCGTGAATCCTTTTCCCCCGTTCCAGTTTCTCCCGTTGAAACCTAGGAACATTTCACACACCACCTACAATACTTCAGTACTAAACCTTTTGTGCCACACTATTCCTGTCTGACCGTCGACTTCGAGCTCGTCTTCCTCAGATCTTCTTGTTACTTGGCTTCAGCATACAGTCAGCTTTCCTGCTTCCTTCAGCACGTGCTGTTTGGCTGTCAGGAAGACTTAGAGTCATGAGTTCGTCAGTAGGGCCAGCGGAGCGCGAGAGGCGGCCCACGGCGAAGATCCTCGTGTGCAAGGACTACGCGCGCGGCCGCTGCTCGCGGAGCGACTGTCGCTTCGCACATACGTCTAGTACTCTCGGCGTGGAGCCCTCGGACGAAGGGTAAGACCCAGTGTGCCCTCCACAACGTGGCGGTTTCAAACCCTAATCTCGTCTCCATAATCGTTGCTGTAAATACAGGAAAAGCACAACCACGCAGTTTTATCATATTAATGGTTTCTCTTCCGTTTCTGTTTTTTCCTATTTCAGTTCTGTTTTCTCCTTCCAGGCTGGATCCGTGTGGTTGCCTAGCAGTTTTCCGCATTCCCTTGCGTCATTATCTTCTTCTCGTGTACCAATCAATCTTGCCGCTCCGCACGCAATGTTCCGCGGCGAGCTCTTCATTTGACTGTATTCTGTTCTGCGGATATGTCTTTCCCCTGGATATGCCTTGTTCTGTCGTATCGTCTCGTCTCGTGTCGTCTGGTCTGGTTTCCTGGCGCGGTGTCGCAGGGACGTGGTGTCTGTGTGCAACGACTTCTTGCGATCACGCTGCGCGCGCGCTACGTCGTGTCGGTACTTCCACCCACCGCCGCATCTAGTCAGGTAATTTCTCACTGGCTGGACAGTATAGCAGTGGATAGTAGCTCAACAGCGCAACCCCAAGGGCAGTGAGTAGGTCCATCCAGCTGACCTTGACAGCCAGGCGGAGCCCGCGGAGCCTGCGGAGGCTTTTCGGGTGCTTCGCAAGGATGAAGAGGCTCAAGCTCTCCCGCGGATGGCGCTTCTGCTCAACTGATCCCACGCGGAACTGCTGGCTGCTGCTATCGATTCCTTTACGGCGTCGCTCTGCTGGCTCTTCAGACCGTTTCGGTGAAGCCGCCAATGCTTTGCCGAAGCTTCAGACCCCGTCAAATTTTCCGCTCCCTAATCTTTCTTCCTCCATTCTCCATCGCCATCGGACTTTTCCCACTTCACCATACCCACTTTCCTCTCCCTCTCTGCTTCAGACTCCCTCCTCTAATTCCTCGCCTTAATTTTCCGGTCCTGTCCCCGCACCCTCTGGCTAAACCCTCGCTTCCCCCCCCCCGTCTTCCCCCTTTCCCCCTGGGCGCAGTTCGCTGGCGAGCAAGGTGGGCATTACGCTGCCCGGCGACGTCGCGGACATGCTCCCGCAGCAGCCCTTCCTGCCCGCGCCCGCGCCCGCTTTCCCCGACGTGCGTTGCGCTTGCCCCATACTCGCGCCTCCTTTCCTTGCCCTCCCTTTCCTCTCTTCGCTGCTCCCGTTCCAACCCCCCAGCCCCACCCATCGCGTTCCCTATCATCGCACCCTAAACCCTTGTCGCTTGTAGCTCTCCGCTCGTACTGGCGGCGTGTCCGCGACCGCGTCACTACACACGCACGCACGAGCGCCGTCTTTTGCCGTACTTGGCGTCATGCATCCCATACCCGTTCATGGATGCTCATTAGTGTTACAAGCATTCCCCCCTGCCGTCTCCCACCAAATCCCTGGATGGATCCGCCACATTTGCTGCCCCGCATCGTGTCTCTGGATTGGTTTTCCGCTTCCTACCATCCACTCAGCCACACCCTCCGTGTTCATTACTCTCATCCCCCCTCCTCTTTCCCAACCCCCCTCTCCTCCCCCCCCCCACACCCTTTCCCGCTTTCCTTCTTTCCCCCTCTCCCCTTCTCACCACTGCGCGCATCCCCTTTCCGCAGATGTACTCCGCACCCTCCGCGTATCTCGCCGCGGCCTACCCGCCCATGGCTCCCGCAGGCCGCCCCTTCACTCGTCCCGCGCTCGAGGTAGGCTGGGCTCGCCCGCTCGCACCTCCTCCTCCTCCTCCTCCTCCTCCTCCTCCTCCTCCTCCTCCTCCTCCTCCTCCTCCTCCTCCTCCTCCTCCTCCTCCTCCTCCTCCTCCTCCTCCTCCTCCTCCTCCTCCTCCTCCTCCTCCTCCCCTCCTCCTTCCCTTCGTCTCCTTCCCTCTCTCGACCTCGTTGCCCTTGCGTCGGCGCTTCGCTCGTTGTCCCATTCGCCTTTTGCTGCTCTTCTGCAGTTTTATTCATCCTCTCTCTGTCTAATCCTGTTCCCTCCTCCGTCCCCCCCTCCTCCATGCCTCCGTCCCGTCCCCCCACACCCCCACTTCCCCACTCCACCACGTCCCTACTCCCCACTCACGCACTCCCCCACTCCCCCCCGTGCACGGCATTGCATCAGGTGTGTCGCGATTTCCTCAAGGGGCGGTGCACGCGAGAGGCATCAGTGTGCCGCTACGCGCACACCAACCCCAATGCGGGCGACGGCAACCTTGTCACGGTCAGCGCCTGCTCCCCGCCCTGCCCCTCCCCCTCTGCCTCACTTCCCCCTCCATGCCTTCCTTCCCCCTGCCTCTCTCCGCCTTGTCTCTCTCTCCCCTGCCCCTCTCTCCCTTGCCTCGCTTCTCTCCCTCCACCTGTCATCACCAGTCATACGCACACGGTCTCATATTGGCATGCAAAGGCTGGCTCTCAACCCTCTGTCCTGTTTCCTCGCTGCGTGCATGCATGTGTGCGTGCAGGTGTGTCAGGACTTTCTGAAGAACCGCTGCGAGCGCGCCAGCTGCCGCTACTACCACCCTGAGGAGAACCTGCGCTCGCGCATCAAGGATGTGAGCCGCACTGCCATGCACGGGCGCATGCACGCACGCACGCACTCACTTACTTGGATTCATGGACACAGGCACACACGGGCTTACTTGGATGCATGGACACAGGCATGCACGTATGCATGCACGCACACTGGCATGCACACAGACGAGCACTTTTGTGCGCACATGCATGAAACACATACACATAAATGCACGCATATGCAAACATTGAAACCGCATTGTTCAGTTCATGGCTTTCTTTCTTTCCCCCTATCCCCTTCCGCGGCCCCTTTCTCGCGCCCCTCCCTCTTCTTGTTCCTGCCTGCTCCCGCTTTCCATTCTTTTCCCCATTCCATCCCCCTATGTCTGCATGCGTCCACACACGTGCATGTCCATCCGTGCGTGTGCATGTGCATTCATATGCGTGTGCGTGCATGTCTATGCATGTGTGCGCATGTGTGTGCATGCCCATCCATGTGCGTGCATGTGCGTGCATGTGTGTGCATGCCAATCCATGTTCATGCATGTGTGTGCATGCCCATCCATGTCCATGCATGTGCACATGCATGAGCATGGTTGCAGGTACCGGTGAGTCGGCCGGGGCAGGGCATGGAGATGGATCCGTACCAGGCAGCGTACAGCGCCTATGCCGTCGCCAGCATGTACGAGAACCAGGTCAGACCACCGCATCCCACCGCTCCCCATCGCATCGCATTGCGTGTGCTGTGTGTGTGTGCATGAGCGGGGAAAGTGGGATGCAGGAGGGTGGAGGGCCGGGAATAGATGGAATAGGGGAAAAGAATGGGGGGGCTGGGGTGTGATGCGTGCTTATTGCTTTTCGCATGTGTTGTTGCATGTGCCGTGCATGTCATGTGCCGTGCATGTCATGTGCCGTGCATGCCATGTGCCGTGCATGCTATGTGCTGTGCATGCTAAGTGCCGCACTTGCCATATGCCGCGCATGCTATCTGCTGCGCATGCTATGTGTGCACGGCAGCTTTCCTCCTGGCGTCTTGCAGACGTGGGGTGCGTACGTGACCTAGCAAGCACATTCATCGTGGCATGCTGTAATGCTTGTGTGTGTGTGTGCATGTGTGGGAGGGTGGGCGCGAGGGGCTGGTGGGGAGGGGTGTGGGGTGGGGTCGGTTGGGGCGGGGTGGGGTGGGGGGGAAATGCGTGTGAATGCGTGCATGTGCATGTGTATGTGTGTGTGCGCGCGTGTGTGGCATGCATGGGCGTGCATGCAGGCAGCGGCGGCCAAGAGAATGAGGATGGAGGAGGGAGGGGCGCCGGGAGCGGGCAATGCAGCAGCGGTGGCATCTCTGGGCGGGGACGATGACAGAGCGCGCAAGTCTGGCCTAGACGTGCCGGTCCGTTGCCCCGCCCCCGCCCCCGCCCCCGCCCCCGCCACCTCCTCCCCTCCTCCCCTCCTCCCCTCCTCCCCTCCTCCCCTCCTCTCCTGCTTGCCCTGCCCTTCCCCTTCCCCCGTACCCTGCCCACCCGCTTCCTCGTTGCCCCGTCCCCCCATCCCCTCGTCCACCTTCGCTCCACTCCTTCCCCTCCCCCCTCCCCCTTCCCCTCCTTCCCACACTTCGCGCACACCCTGTCCCATAGTCGATCCTTCCTTGTGTTTCCCTCTCGCTCTGCTCTTCTCCCCTTCCCACACCACGCGCTCGTTCAAACTACTTTCTCTCTCTCCTCAAACCCCTTGCCTTTGCATCCGTTCCTCCCCTCCCCACCCTGCCCCTCCCACCACCTCTCAATCCCCAACATTCCCTCTATTCCCGCTCCTCCCCCGTCCCTCCTCCCCCCCCCCCCAACTCGCCCCCCCATGCGACAGATGCCGTACTACTCCGCACTGCCGCCCATGTACGGGTCACCAGCCATGCACCAGCTGCCCATGGGAGGCGGCTACCTCCCTGCGCCCTTCTACCCCGGCCAACACCCACGTGCGCCCCCTCGTCCTACATGCACACACTTTCCTCTCTGCCTTCCTGCTCCCCCTCGCTCCCTCCTCTCTCCCTCTCCCTCCCCTCCCGTCCTTCACTCAGTTCCCTTTGTATCCCCCCGCTCTTTCCCTATCCCGTGACCCACTCGCCCTCACCTTCGCTTTCTACTGCTTGTAACTGGCTATGTCTCCCTGTCTCTGTTCCTCTCATATACCGCTCTCAGTTTTTATTGTCGCTTCCTTTTCGCTCGTCTGTCCAACCTTCCCCTCTTTAGCTTAATTTCTCTTTGCCATTCCCCTTCCCAATTCTTCCCTTTCATTCTTTCTCCCTCCACTCTCCCATGTCCTCCCGTCCCATCCCGTCCCATCCCATCCCATCCCATCCCATCCCATCCCGTCCCATCCCGTCCCATCCCGTCCCGTCCCATCCCGTCCTGTTCCATCCCATTTCGTCCATCCCATCCCATCCCGTCCCATCCCTTCCTCCTCCCCCCACCTCCCCCGCAATCCCCCTTCTCCTGCCTTTCCCCCCACGTTCCCCCTCGCTGTCCCCAGGAGCGGCAGTAGCGCAGGACCGGCTGCCGGTGTGTCGGGACTTCATCAACGGCAAGTGTGTGCGCGGGGCGTGCCGCTACGTGCACCCCGACGAGCACGTGCAGGTGCAAGCACACACTGCACTACACACCTCCTTTTATGCACGCTGGGGGGGCTGTGACTTGTGGGCTTGAGGCTTGCGGACTGCCTGGGTGGATGAGGGTGGGTAAAGACGGGTGGGGAGGGGGTTGGGAAAAGAATTGACGAGAATGGGACAAGCAAAGGTTGATGTTAGTTCGTCCCCGCAACTCGTTATCCCTTTCTTTAACGAGCATCTTGTTCCTGGATCCCACTGTTTGTCCCTCATCCGTCCCCCCTTCCCTCCCTCCCTCCCTTCCCCCCATCCCTCCCTCCCTCTTCCCACCGTCCTGAATCGCCTGCACACAGGTGGTGGATGGCCATGTGACTCTGTGTCGTGACGCTGCGCGCAACAAGTGTGAGAGGGAGAACTGCCGCTTCTACCACCCCCCAAGCCCAGTGGAGGAGAGATGTAACACGCTTCAGCGACCACACTGGCAGCAACCGCCACTTGTAATGCTCAGATATTTTGCAATCCCTTTTCTTTTCTTTATTTCCCCTCCTCAACCCCACACCACCATGGCCCACACTTTTACTTTCGCGCACTCCGCCTCTTGCTCTGTGCTTTCTGTGTGCCTTGCCGCCCCTTCCTGAGTATGCTTTACATTGCATGTGCTTGAGCTCATGTGCAGAGCACCTCTTGCTCTTGCTCTTGCCTTCGCTTGTGCGCCACCCTGCTTGCTCTGCCTGCTCTGCTGCCCTGCCTGCTGTAACCATCACAATCGCAGGCTGCTGCGGTGCTGCTCTAGCGCTATGACTCTATGGTGCTCTCGCTTCCCCTGGCCGCCGCCGCCGCCGCCGCTGCAGCTGCAGCCGCTGCACTGCCGCCACTACCGCTGCCATAAGCAGCTGGTGCTGCTGTCGCTGCTGCTGTTGTTGCCGCCGCCGCCGCCGCGCCTCCTTCCAGCCCTCCCGCTGCTCTGCCTGCTGCTCCTGCTGCTGCTCTGTGCCCCTTATGCCTCTACGGCCCTGGGAGAAGGCGCAGATGCACAGCTGCTCCAGCATGAAGCTTGTGCACCAGCACACACACCCACCCCCACCCCAACCACCACTCGTACACACACACACACACACACACACACACACACACACACACACACACACACACACACACACACACACACACATGCACACACGCACACTTGTTTCCTTGTGCGTTGCTAGGTAGGCTAGTACGGCAATATAGAGTTGTTTGCGTGTTTGCGCGTGCTGTGCTCACAAGCTGCCCGTGCTGCTACTGCGGCTGCTGCTGCTACTTCCCCTTGCCTCTCCACTTTGCTGTTGCCCTGCATCATTGGCCTCCTTTTCAAATCTTTTCACTGGTACTCTTGCAATTGTTATGTGGCTTCAAATTGTTTCTTGTGCTGTGCGCCTTCCAAACATGCAAACTGCTTCCCTCCCATCATCGTGGTCTGGGCTGTGGTAATGTTTGCGTGCCTCCCTTGTCGGCCACTATCATCCATCCCTTCATCTCCTTGCTGTTTTTAGCGTGCTGTGCTGATGCCACATTTTTGTGTGTGTTTCCCTGTAAGGAGAGGTTGGATTCTACGGTAGTTGTGTCGGAATAGGTACCTGAAGTTAGGAGCATTCAGCGAGTATGGGTAGTAGTGCACATGTTGTAGGTTGCACAAACTAAATCACCTGAGCCAGACCTTTCACATCACTACTAGTTCATCTATGGCCTTGCAGCGGAGTTCTGTTTGTGCCGTGCTGTAAATGGCTGTAGATGTGAACATAACAACAAAGCATCCCATTTCTTGTTTATGAAACCGTTTGTATTGGAGAAACAAGGGGAATTTCAGCGTGCGCGCCACTGATGTGACTAATGCTCTCATGGATCTCTCCACGCACTAAGGGTACATTCCTGAAGCGCGTCACAAAAGCATCGTGTCTCAAACGAAGAGATACAGTGCGGTGCAAATGTTTGTCTCTTAGGTTTAATGCGGTGCAGAACGATACATAGGTTTTGTGACGGGATTGAGACATTTGTGTCCACACAGGAATGTACCCTAATGGATATTAAAGCGACGGTGCACATTTGCCACCCAAAACCCAGAACCCTGGCGAACTGTTACTGCAGATGAAAAGTGTCTGCACGAAATCCTGGTTTTCGCCAGCCAACACTTTCGCGCTGGCAAGCCTGGTTCAAAAAAAAAACTTCTGAACCCAACACTGCCAAAAGTTGCCCGTCGCTTTAAGAAAGCTTGCTTTCTGATGCTTGCAAGGCAACGTGCTTCATTTTGATTGGGCAAGGCAACGTGCTTCATTTTGATTGGGAAATTACAACATTCTCGTCCAACTAAAAACATTACGTGATTATCAACTAGGGGTGGGTTGGGGGGACGCGGAACTGTAAAGTTCCGAAATGAATTCGTTGGTGGAGGCCAAATGGCCTCCAACCCTCGTTATGTAGTCGAAAATAGGCAGTCGCTGTTGCCTTGCTTCGCTACAGTCAGCTGCGCTTTCATAATACATATTTTTAGAAAGTGTTACACACTTTCAAAAAATTTCATATCTTCACACTAGTGGACGACCATGCCGGCGTCTTGCCGGCATCTCAGTATCTATCAATCCCAGTGCTTCCTGATTTTTTCAAACATTTCTCCGGTATAACTCCGGGTGCCTCCTCAGGTGCGGCCTCAGGTAGATCTTCAGGTGGCTGGTGGGAGGGAGGATGGGGATCAGCAGCTGCGGCAACATGCTGTGGATCGGCAGCAGAGTTGCTCATGTCGGAAGGCAATATGGTCACAGATGAAGCAGCAGAATTTAAAGGTGAAGGGCCAGTTGGAGAAAGAGGTGGGAGTGCGTGAGGGTCAAAGGTGGTGGTGGTGGAAGCAATGTCGGTTTGCAGGTGAGAAGCAGGGCTGGCAGCAGAAGATGAGGTGGCTGAGGCGGCTGAGGCGGCTGAGGAGGCGGAGGCGGAGGAGGGGGAGGAGGCAGAGGGGGAGGAAGGGGAGGAGGCTTGGGCAAAGCCCTCACGGTACCCGAGCACGAACTGCTTGAGGGAGTCAGCATAGGCCGCCACTCGCTCCACGTACCGCTGGTGCAGCCATGGGAGCAGTGCCCTCGCCCCTGCCTTGCCTGCTCCGCCTGATGGGCGGGAGGGACGAGCGGGTGGAGTGCGGATTGGTGTGGGTGAGAGGTGAGAGGTGAGGTGTGAGGGGTGAGGGGTGAGGGGTGAGGGGTGAGAGGTGAGAGGTGAGAGGGAAAGGAATGGGAGGAGTGAAGGTGAGGTGAGTGTGTTGTGATGGTGGTTGTGAAGCGGAAGGGAGGCTGACGGCTTTGGTTTCTGATGAGCATGCACATGAGGATCGTTCAAAGGGGCCGCAAGAGGCTTTTGTGTTGTGATGCCTGCACGCATCCACACAGGGTCACACACCCACACAATTTCACACCCACATGCCTCCACGTAAAAAAGACACGGAAACGCGACACAAAAGCAGAACCCACCTAGCTCTTCCACCAATGTGCCGCTTGATGCCGAATCACCTCCTCCCGCCTCCCTCCTCCGCCTCTCCTCCTCCCCATCCTCCTCGACCCCCTCGCCCTCCTCCCCATCCGCCTGCCCTGCTCGCGGGACTGCTTTGCCTCGGTTGAACTCCGCCCTCCAGCTCTCCACATATGCCTCCCATGCTGCTGCCAGCACCTGATGGTGGGGGCGATGTGTGGAGTGGAAGTCACAAAAAAAAGAGGAGAGAGATTTCGGGGTTGGGAAGTGATACGATGCGGAGACGGGGACACACACGTGGGAGGAGGAAGGATCTAGAAAGTGCGTGGAAACGTGCAAGATCGCTGAATTGCAGCCATGCTAGGGCTCATGCGTGTGGAAAGAAGGAGAGGCTGGGAGGAAGGTATGGTGCGTGGAGGGGTGAGCGGTGTGACTGCAAACCGCCCTCATCTGCATTGCCACCCTCTTCCTGGCTACCTCCACTCAGCCTCTTCCCACACCCTGGCTACTTCCACTCAGCCTCTTGGCGTTTCCAGCCTGTCCCCCAAGCTCTTTCCCCAACCTATCCCCGCACCGGCGGCACCCTATCTCACCTGGCGGTGCTCGTGCAAGGTGAGGCGGCGGGGTGGGGGGAGAGCAGAAGGCGGGTCAGGCAGCGAGGAGGGCCAGACGATTTCCCGCAGGTCGTGGCGCACGTAGGCGCGCGCCCGCTGCAGCAGCCTCTGCAGCAGCGCCAAGCGGTGAGGGGAGAGGCCGAGGGGCATTGGGGGGAGGGGGAGGCGGGGGGGAAAGGGCGGTGGGGGAAGGACAAGTGCGGCTGTGGGATGGGGGAGAGGAGCGGGGCGGGAGAAGGAAGGAGGAGAGAAGAAGCGAGTGTGTGAGCGGAGGAGGGAGAGAACGAGTGGAGAAATGGCCATTGTGAAAATATCGACATGTGCTATTGGGACGGGGTAATAGATGTGCAGTGATGCATGTGGTGCGGTGCATATGATGCATGCACGAGCAGGAGAGATCTGCTGAGGGAGGGGAGAAAAAAGAGCACGAAAGGAGCGAGGGAAGAGCGGGAAGGCAGGACGCAGTCAGAACCCCCGCACCGCTAGAATCGCAGGTTCATATCCTACTACCTCACCTCACCTCACCTCACCTCACCTCACCTCACCTCACCTCACCTCACCTCACGAGGAGTCTGAGTGGCGGCCACCAGCGCGTGTAGGGGGCACAGCCTTGCAGGTCACATCCACAGGGGCAGCTGCGCGCCAAGCCCTCATGTCACAGCCCCGGCACCGCCTCTCCCACCGCAAACACTCCCTCCTCTGCACTCCTCTGCACCACTACAAACTCCTCTGGGGCGAAGTTGGGAGATACCAGAGGGTACGAGCAACCCTGAAGCAACCGCGCTCTTTTGAACCAAGCCGATGCAACCTGGAGCAACCCAAAAAGGGACAGATTCCGATAGGCTATTGTCTAACCTCTTGTGAGAGGGAGAGTCAAGGACCGTTCAAGAGTCAAGCGTTCTGGTGCGTGCAGTTACTGTTCATCCACCTGCTGCCCTGCTGCCAGACCCTCTGCTCCTGCTCTACCTGCTCGCCCTCTTTCCGCCACTGCGCC